CGTGCTGCTGCCCCTCTGCACCGTGCTGCTGCCCCTCTGCCCTGCCACATGGATGCTGCAATATCTGCTGTTGGCTAAATCAGGGCTTAAGTAAGGTGTGGACTGGCAACAGCCACTTGGGTGAAGCTGACTTTTTATTGAAAATATTTTTGATTTATTTATCTTATTGCACATCGAAGTCAAGCCAGAGACTATCGCAGGCAGACGGGTAAGATATGGTAAAAAGTTCTCTGTCCTGCAGGCCAGCACGATTTTGCCCTCGCTGACTGAAACCATCATTGCTGGAACCAGCGTTCAGCGGCTACACCAGCCCAGAATATTCCCAGTTTGTGGGAAAAAATACTTCTTATGATTATCACCTCCATGGAGCCTGACGTGTTGCTAGCATCTCTGTGTCTAGGCAGGCAGTGCTGTACAATTACCTGCACAGTTTAGTAAACTGCAATTTCTCAGTTCCAACAATTTAACCAGCCTCAAACGACAAAAACCTCTTTATTTTCCTGTAACTCACAAATGAGCGAGTGCTATCCTAAGCACTGCATTCGCCATTGTGCAGCTTTGGATCCACTACTTAAAAATCAATGTAGAAAAACAAACCATTGCATTGCCCGCTTCATTTTAATTTAGTGATGCGACATTAATCCTAACTTTGTTAAATTACGTTTCTCTTCCATCAAAAAACAAACCTAAACACCTTTTTAGTGACACCTGTATGCCTAATACAAATGAGGTTATGTATGTGCTAATATATGTGTGTGAGATCTATAATTATAGCATACACGTGCATATAAAATAAAGGTGTTATGCAAAATATTGCACCTTCTGAATGAGAAGGAGAGAAAGGAACCGAGAGGGAGATGGAATGTTCCCTTTCCCAGTAACATCACAAAATATTGTAAAATATTAGGGAAGCAATGCCTACGCAGCATTGCAGCACCAGAGGTGCCAGCTTGCTATCGAGAGTACGTGCAGTGCTACGGCGTTGCGGGGCTGATAAGCGCGGGCTAAATGAGAAAGCTTATCCTAACAAATCTTCATACAGGCAATGCCATACCTGGGCGATAACTTGGACTCTTCGAGGAGCTTTTTGAATTCTTCTTTGGCTAACAACAATTTATTTTTCTTTTCTTTGTACTCTTCTCTGATCCTGGTCTTGACAAACTGTTCAAATATCTTTCCAAGAAAGGGAAACAAGAGACAGCGTTTATTAGCAAAGCCTTGACGGTATTTCTGCCTGATCAAAGGGCTGACAGTCTCACAAGCCACAGTTCCTATCTGCCCCCGGTGCAGGCTGGCTCGCATGCAGCCAAATCTGCCCCATGCAGCACCAATCATGTTCTCACAGAATAAGACGCTGGAAAAAGGTATAATCTGGACAGATAACATCTTCATCTCAACATCAAGTGCAACAAAAGTCACAATTTCCTGACTTCAGCATCTTGCTTGCGTTTTCACGCCTACAGCACTATTTTGGTGCATCCGTAGAGCTGCATTTACTTAGTCTGGATCTCGCATCTTTCCCAACTCTCAGGAATTCCTGAAAATGTCCGTAATGCTAAACATCAATATTCCGTGGGCTACCCTCAAAAAAGCCTGAAGACCTTTCCAATCAGTTGTCAAAACCCATGATCCTCTGTACACATCCCCCCAAAGCTTTAATGTGTTTGGAAGGGTCCACAGCCTTCCCCTAACAGCATTTGGCAGCTGCACACACAGCAGAGCGCTCAGCACCAGGGTTTTCAGTGTCTTGAAAAGGAGTTAAGGAGCTCACTACGTCACAACATTCTTCCAACTCTTTTAATCCCATTTTTAACACCAAAAATCTGCCCCTGCTGGTTCCACGCTCTAGAAGGCGTGGCACACTAAGCTGTTGAATAAAAGGAGCTGCTCCTCAACATGCTGTTAGCTTTCCACGTTCGCCACCCTTTCCACCACCAATTACCCCCGTTAAATACGATCACTTCGGTTACAGCCGCAGCTGCTTCCTCATCAGCCACGAGGATGCACAGGCGCACAAGCTGCGCTTCACGACAGCTGAAGTAACCAGATTACAACTGGTGTGCAGTGTGGTGTGTGGAAATGCAGAGAAATACCCAGGAAAAGTAAACATCAAAAAATGGCCATGAAAGAAGTACTAAGAAAATCCCAGGAAATCGAAATATATAGTACTGTCTGCAATTGCATACGCTGAGTGTAAGAGATGGAAAAAATGGAACCAATAAAGTAGGTGACACTGTTACTGCTTGCCTTTCTGGTATCCGTGACACTACGATGAAGGTAATAAATCAAAATTAACAGATAGCTCATTATCTGAATACAGTTGCTCCTTTACCCTTCACTGTTCCTTGCTTAGACGTAGCAGCATCCTTCAGCTGCTAATGACCCCTTGGAAAATACTGGCGAGTAAGCGGAGCAACCTGCAGATGCTCAGTAACGGTTCGTTCTGTTCCTCGGGCTGTGTAAGGACACCACCCACAGCAGAGCTTGCATCCAGGGAGCCCAACACGAGCCCAAGTCAAGAGGGAGCTCCCTCGGACCCTTGCAGAGCACTCAAAACGCCTTCCCTGCCCCTCCAACCCACCTGCCTGACCCTGGAGAGAGGGGAACTGTCGTACAGCCGCCTGCTGTGCGCCCCCTCCAAGGTCAACCCATCTGCATCATTTACAAAGTGCTCAAACGCTCGCTCTTCAGGCCATATTTACCATATTCACCATATTTATTTAAAAAATGGACAATTCCATATTCAAAATTCTTCCTTCTCCAGGCTGACAAAAGCCTGGTAAGGAAGAGAAATAACTACAGAGCAGAGGCGTTCACCTTCCCTGCAATATCTTTGCATCTCTCCTAAATTTTTTTAGACTAATCTGCAGCCCCCGGGTCCTTTTACATCCCTAGCGATAATTAATGCCCAAAAAAACACGGCAGCAAAAAGTCCGCTTCCCTCTGCAGCCTGCCTGACAAACAGAACCCACTGGAACAGAGAGCAGCGCAGCCACAGCGCTCCATCCATTCATGTCTAGCAGGTTTAGTTATGGCGAAATACAGCTGTAAATACCGCCAAACTCCCAGAAAATATTCTAAGTAATAAAAATGAAGTAGTCTCTCTACAATACTTAAATAATTCAGAGTGGAAGCGTTGCCGTATGGCCGTTTCCCTTTCTCCAGCCCAGTTCTCACTCCGTAGGAGTTGTTCCTACCACCCAAGAGACCGTCGCTCATCTCTCTGTGCAAACTCCTCACCACTTGCTTCTCAAAGCTTTTTTTCCGCTTCCTTACGAGCGGAGCCTAAATCATGAGGCTCAGTAAAAAACTCAAAAAAGACATTTTATTTCTATGCAATTCTTTTCATCCTACCGAGATAATCACGCCGTTATCAGGGCTAATTTGGGGGATGTTTGCTGCCCATCGGAAGCCAGGCTGCAGGTAACGCTCACCTGTT